CAGCAGCAACAGTGGCCCAAGGGTGGGAGTCCACGGAGAGGAGTCCATGTTCAGGGAGAACCTTTGAGCTTTTTTTTTTTTTTTCTCTTTCTTCTTTCTGTCTTGCCGCGGGGTTGCTGGTAGGCATCGGCGAGAGGGACTGCCACACTTGGGGTTTGTACTTTTAGGTCTTCAGGGGCGTCTGCGGGGTTCATGTTTTTTTTTTTCCCTTCTTGGTCCTTTTGAGTTTCGGGCCTTTTCGGCCTCTGAAGGCTGCTGTTTGTAGCAACGAAGGCACGAAGAGGGAAGGGGTTTTGCGAGCGTCACCGCCGGATGACGGCATCACGAGCTCGATGAAATACACAGAAGCGATGCCTTTCTCCGTGCTGCGCGATGCCTCGAGATGCGTCTTCGACAGCCAATTCACATGCACCCTGGCAGGTCACCATGTGTCGAGCAGCAGGTAAGGAGTAGTGCCATGGGCGAATGTATTGTCATAGGGGATAACGAGAGAGTCCCCAGTCATGTCTAACCTCCCGCAAATGCATCCAGCAAATGCGCCCTGGGAGTAAAAGAGGAAAAGTGTGAAGAATTGTGAAAGAAGAATGTGGAAAGAAATTACAAAGGCAAAAAAAAAAACCCGCCAGATATCCCACTCGTCATGCACATAGACTTTCACGTTCAAAAAAACGCCTCTCCCCCCCCTCACTCTCGCCGAGAAACCCCAATCTGTAGGTTTCGTTTCATGCATACATACAATTGGTATCCAAACACGCACGCACAGAAACATCCGGCCCCAGGCCTCGCCGCATGCAAAACGCAGCACCCCACGCTCACGCCGCGCTGGCGCTCGCCTTGGGCGCAGACGCCTTGGTCGCGTCGCCGCTGCCCACGCGATGGGGCGTGAACCCGTCGGGCACAGGCCCGCCTATCGGACCGGGCGTCAGCAGGTTGAAGAGCCACATGACGAGGAGGATGAAGACGATGCGCGCCTGGAGCGTGCGGAGCATCGACCGCAGCGGCGG